ACCAGATTATAACCATTAACCTCAAAATTTTATAAAAAAAAGACGTCTTATTGACGTCGGAAATTGGTCAGTAGTGTCAGTTTAAGGTCCAATTTGAAAACACATACTGACGTCTAAAAGACTTTGAAATATGACGTCATTTGGATGTGTCTTACTTACGTCATTTGGACGTCGCATTTGTTGAAATAAAGACGTCTTTTGGCCGAATGTGATGCCGTCAATTAGACGTCATATAGTCGTCATGTGCTACCTGGGTTGTTAAGAAAATAAGAAATAATCACACAGCGCTGCAACACCAAAACTCATCACAACTCACTGGCAAAGACAAAACAAGATGGCAGAGAGGTGAAGAAGGAGAACGAAGAGACAATTATTGCGCTTGCGCCTGCATCCGAATTGTATCACGTGATACATATAAGCTTAATGGAAACTTATGATAAATTTGTAGAGTGTTACTTGTGGTAAATTGATAAAAATGATTTTACTATAAACTTTCACTAGTGAAGTTACATACTGAAAGTTTAGCGCCAACTCTCATATCGAGGTGGTGGTAAGTTCATTTTTTTCAAGTTACAATAAGCTCATTTTTGAAAACTTTCTAAAAATCATCTTACAGGCAATTTTCGAATGGAAGTTGCAAATAACCAAATTTACAGTAAATTCTCATTTAACTCGCGAAGAAAGATTTCAATTGTAAAAGACTATCATACTTGCTGCAAATTGTTGTAAATTACAATGTTTAGTGGGACATTACGGTTGCAGTGAGACTGTATTGTATCCATATCGCAAATACAATTAATCAAGAAGTATGGAATCAACGTTACCATGGAAACTCAGTCAATTTTTCGAAATAGGAATTAATAGGCCAGTAGCCATATTAACTGTCAATTTGTGTAATCATACATAATTCATTAGTGATTTCAAAATGGATTCTAGTGATGAAGAAAGTGTGAATTGTACTCCACCAGAAATTAGTGAGGCAGCTGAGGAAGCAAAATCGAGTTTATTGCCAAGTAAATCAAAAAAAATATACGACAAAGTATACGAAGAATTCGTAAGCTGGTGCGATATGACAGTGACATTAGCTTTACCACCAGCTCAATGACTTTATCGCCCGCCGGGCGGTAAAGTAGTCCGCGGGCGGTAAAGTGCCACTTTACGCCCGCAAACCCGGGCGTCAAAGTGCTACTTTACGCCCGGTCGTGCATAAAGTAATTTTTCGAGATATTATAAGTTCCATAATATTCTAACATTCAAGCTCTCAAGATTTAACTGATTTCAACAATGTCATGAATGAACTGAGCAAGACAGTTTGAACCCCACTTATTCTTGTTTTCTTATTAACTGGTTTGTAACCTATTATATGACATAGATATTAGAGTGCATGTCATCAGAATTTGAGATTCATTGAATTGGCAAGAATATCTGTATAAATAACGTATAATTGAGGATTAGCACGAATTTTGTAGCGACTGCATGATTGAACCAACAACCTACTCGATTAGTATAATCATGTTAGCCATAAACTTCTAGAATTGACAAAGGAGGTAAAAACCTATATTGGTGACATTTACTACATCAATGAATATCAATTATCAAATCATCTCGACAGTTTCTGGTCAGATCATATTTACTTGCGAATGAAATAGCTAACAAGACAGGAAAAGGGGGTAGACGAGTTTGCTGCCGAACGCTATATTTGAACGTTCCATGAAATTGTAGGGTATTCAAATAATGTTTTTTGAAGTATTACAGCATGTTTTATCATACAATGGAAAAAAGTATTAAGGTGAGTTCCCAATACAACGTTTTTGCTTTACGAGTCGCCCGTCATGCAACCTGATTGGTGACGCTGAATTTGAAAAATATTTGACGCGATGAAGTTGAAATATGCCAATTTTTTGACGTTGCTGCTTTGTGTTACGTTGAGGTCATTTCAGAATCTGTCAACACAAGATTTTCCATGAAAATAAAGAAATTTTGAATGCAACTTTATTAAACCCGCATTTCAGAAAAAGATCTCATGATCAGTAAATTATTGCAGTAGCCCTGAAGTGGGTACCTACCTACATCTCATTTTCACTATGCTTATTTCGTTTTTTCATGAATTACTAATCTGATGCAGTTCTGTATATCTTGCAAGCATTATCATATATTTTCAGTAATCTCAGATATTCTCCCGATTTTTCAATGCAAACTTCGACCACATCGACAAAGATAGGTAATTTCATTGGGAACTGAAGTAAATAATAAAGAAACACTGCCTCAATTACGCATCATCAATCATAGTGCATGACGCGCGATGCAAAAAGCAAAAAAGCTGCATTAGGAACTCACCTTCAGATTTTAGCTCGAGGTTTATCTCTCGACGCGTAGCGGAGGGATACAAAAATCGGGAGCTAAAATCCAATATTTTCCCGTGTATAATACACATTTTTATTCTGTGACAGAACAAACGACGATTCAGTTTTTTTTATGTTCTGGTTTCCACGGAAAGGGATATCCTGTAATGTTCAGAGAACATCGTGAGAATCAATGGTATATATATGGTATAGGAATTGGTGTTCAAGTCAAAAAAATGTTATGCCTAATATAACATTATTTCGAATAACAAGGAAACTAAGAAATATATCAAAATAAATAACTAGCACTGGAAAAAATCTTCATAGGGTTCCATATCAGTGGATATGAAAAAAACACTGTGTAGCTTAGTCTCCTGTATTGAAAAGAACTGTTCACATTGCCGATAGCAATGTGCTCACCAAATTTTAAATCACTAGGTTTTGTTCCAACAGGGAGATAAAAAATAAAAACAAAAAATGTATGCGAACTTGTCTATCGATTTTCAAAGTTGGACGAGTTAAACCTGAGACACCCTATATATCTGGGAAAAAAGTATTAACTTTTTTTCCGTGAGAAAAAAGTAATTTATAAAAAGTGACATTTTGTAACCTGTCAACAGAGTTAAACTGTCAAACTTTATCCCGTCACATAAATATAATTGTGCATTGAAATAGTAGGTTATTTTATTAGGATCTGAAGTAAAACTTTGTTTGACAAGCGAATTTTGCATTTGCGAGCCAAAAAGCGTCTAGCGAAGCCAAGCGAAAGCAAAATTTGCGAGACAAACAAAGTCACTTTTGATCCGAGAGAATAGTAGATTGTTTTATTAGGATCAAAAGTGACACTTTGTTTGACAAGCGATTTTGCATTTGCGAGGCGGAGCGTTTAGCTAGATAAATACCTATTTATATCTCCAGCATGGGTATGAAATGCCAAATCTGCTGAAATCGGAAACAAATCAGGTATGCGTCTCAACCCAAATAACCAACCGTCACAATGTGTTGTTTATTCTTGATGACGTCCAGTAGATCCTTTTTAGTTCCTAGGAGCTAAAGTTCAACTTTAGCTCCTAGGAACTAAAATTTAACTTTAGCTCCTAGGAACTAAATATGTTGCCTAGCAACATACCTATTTTTGTGTCAGTAATAGAAACGTCAATTTAAGAGCTATTTTTGGTATCAAAATGGACGACTTTTGTGTCGGTTGCAGAAAAACTACATTTAATGTCATTTGGAGAAAAATGATATGTTACTATAGTATATTTCAGTTATAATTATATCCACATTTAAATTGAATTCACGCATTTGTATTCTGCCCTATTATCGTAATTATTTTACTCAGAAAACCCTACGAAGAAAATCAAGAAGAAAATGAAAAGGTGGCTATGGCTATGAAGAGTACACTGATAATTTATTCTGAATCACCTTTGGTATGCAGAAAAAACTTAATATGTCCACAGCACATAACAGTGTTTTCAGATTATTATGGCAGGAATTTATATACTCTCGTTATCGTACTTGGTGCCAATTATTTTTTTGTAGCTGCTTGTTATGCGAATTTATATTATTTGGGAATGTTTCAATAGAACACTCGAAAATTCATTGTGAGATAAAAATAAACATAACTTTATTGATATTCGAAAGCCAACGCTACTTTTAATGTGAATCTAACATCAACAGTTTTTTTGTTCACTGAATTTTCGTAAATAAAATATTAGGATTTTCCTCGGGATTTTCTACTGAATATGACAACTGACAAAATTGGTTGGATTTTGATAGCGACGCATCTATACACGCATTATTGTTTGAAAAATCATGGCACGACATAATTATCAACTTGAAATTATAGTTATATCTAATTTTCCATTTACTTTACCTATGTGCTCTAATCTCATTTCGGAAAAATACATTTTAAGCATGTGTAGGATTCATATCAGGAGTAAATAACCTCTAACAATGAGTATTCACATTATAATCAAGGCCTCTACTAAACATTTTAATTTTGGATCCAACATCAAATCTGAACTTTTTGCGTCAACTTCAAAATAAGTAGGTAATCAATCAAACAGACCAAATAGACTTTGCCAACTTGTACATTGATCTTCTAAATTATCCTAGATGGGACGTCAGCAAAATCCTTCGAAATTCGAAACAAAAACAGAATCGACACAAAAATATATTGGAAGAGAAAAATTGTATTGCAGCACAACCTCTTATGAACTCCCACTGCCACAACTGATTTCCAAATGTTCGATCCATCTATTTTGGTTATCAAATCTGTTGATGTGATTTATATAAATACTAGGTATATGTACAGTCTTCTTCAGAAAACATGTCACACATGGACGATGATTGCATTCACAAACAAACTTAAACTCTTATATTCCATCACCAACCACTTATATTATTAGAGAATTTATCATATCTTTGTTTTCCCGCACTAGTGCGGGAAAAAATTTCCCGTACTAGTGTGGGAAAATTTTCCTGCACTGTTGGGGGAAAATTACACTTTCCAAACTAAATTGCGTGCGGGTATAGGGTGAATCACGCACGCTTGTAGAAAAAATAACTTTCACGCATAAAAATCCACTCACTCACTCGTGTCACACTGTCATGCACACATCATTCTAATGCCGAAAATTCGGTCCAACCTTGCAGGACCTGTTGCAGGACGGCAGGATATCAGTGGAGGAATTCAAGCAGGCCGTGCAGCAGTGTTGCCAAGGCAGGCGGTACGAGGACTTCCCGCAGGTAAGGGGAAATGAGAAGTTCGATTTCAGGTTTCAAATGGGGAATTTTAAGAAATTTTCACTTATATCACGAGAGCTTAAGTGGTATTCGGTGAGAAAATTTACATGTTGATGGTTGTTTGTGATGAAATGTAAGAACTAACATACAGTAACAACATGTATTTTTGTAAATTTCGAATTTGCAAGTATACCTACAATATAATATGGTGAACTGTTCGATAAATGATTTATATATTTTTATTTATTGACTTATAGAATGAACTCAAGATAATCTGAAGTTGAATGTGAATGTCATTTGACCTATAAACGTCAAAAAATTTCCAGTGTAATTTCATGCTCCGTCCCGCAAGGAGAAAGGAAAAAATTTCCAAGAAATTTGTTTAGTTTCTATATGGTAACGAACGAAATACAGGCTTGAAATTGATCGAAAATGTTCTGAATGTTCCATATTTCTATCATTCTTTATGACCAAGATACACAGACCACCTTATACATTTTTTTGATATTCGGTTTGTATGTTCTTTGTCCACATTTCATTTCAGGGCCGGCCTTGAAGAAATTAATAAGTAGGTTTCGGGTCGAAACAACATCCTCTATATCAATATTATAGAATCTGATTAACAAATTACAATAAGCAAATGTTATGATAATCACTACTGTGGACAAAGAATATACACACTAAATATCAAAAAAATGTATAAAAGGTGGTTCATAAGTTATGATTGATTGAAAATATGGGGGAAATCAATAAATCACCCTGTATCTTGGTTATAAAGTATGATAGACTTATGAAATATGGATTATTCAGAAGCACCCCGGTGTCCACCATCTACCCTTACTGTATGCGCATTTCCCAATGAATCGGAATATCTTCATGATTCATGGTATACCATATATTTTTCCAGCTATATTTCTGAATTTTGGAACATCGAATATATGCTCACTAGAGGGCACTCTAACTCTTTAGGAATTTGATTTCGTCTTCCGATTTTCCTGACATCAGCTTTCGATTTCCAAATAGAACACCCCTTATTTTATTCCATAATCGGTCAGAGAGTATTATGACATATTCAACGATACACAAGACATTCGCGTTCAAATTTTCTATTAGAGGCTCAATGAGTGTGACAGAGATTGAAGTTTCGGTATTGAAACGTCATACCTATCGATCATATGGAAACTTTGAACACAAATAATATTCGTAATAATTTGGAAAAACTCTATCAAACCCGCTATCGTTGAATTCGTTATGACACAATCTAACCGATTATGGAAAAAAATACAGGGTAATTCATTATAAAATGGAAAGTTTATGTCACTTCCAGGAAAACGGAAAAATGATGAAAAAAAATACTAGAATGTGAAAAAGTGACCTCTAGTAAGCATATGTGATATAGCTAGAAAAACAAAGGTGAAATGGATGTTTCTCCCGGTATATGTAGAACTTTTTTTTTCAATTGAGTCGGCCGTTACTTGATGGAAATCCATGGCAAATGTAAAAACTTCACAAACGATAAGATTTCCACAGAATTCTCAAACACACGAACTGTTTCGCTAACACAGTATCTTCGTCAGGTGAGCACCGGTTTCGAGCTCTTTGACTCTCATTATATTCCCCCAGAGGCGTCTTTCATAGACAATATGATTTTTGGATTTGGATTTGATATCCGAAATGAGTTTATTCGAGTGAAGTCATATAACCTGTTTGTGAGAGATATAATTTCAATATCACTGATTCGAATGCTTTTTTTAGAAGTTCTAAGCTCATCAAGATCAGAGTTTATTCAAGTATACTACTCCTATACATTTCAATTTTTGTTTCATAATACATCATTATTATTGTATTCGATTTGAGAAATAATGTCAATTTTCAATTTCAGAGGATTTTCATTTTTCATGCTCTCTTTTTGGATGTTCAACAGATATAATTCAATGTTCGACGTGGCAAATAGCCAGGAAAGTAGTTGTTTTCTGTTGAATATTCAGAATAATATTATGTGCATATACATATCTTTGTATGAAGGAGAATGCAAATTATCTACTTCAGAAGATATTGTTTTCAAATTCTTATCGCGTGTGTGTTCAATCGATATTATTCAATGTTCGTCGTGGCATATAGCCAGGAAAGTAGTTGTAGTAGTAGAATGCTAATTTTCAATGTATTTCTTTGTACATATATTCATTTTTATATTTCCATAATTATATCTGAGAATATTCCTTTTCAATACTTACCCAATGAAGGGGTTCAAACTTGAACGATGGAATCTATTTTTATAGACCTCAATCGAAGATTCGTGATTAGGTTTTCTCAATTCAGAATTTCTTTCCACGTCCTGTGTGATGAATTTCAATTCATCATACATCCAAACAAAAAATTTCAAATACATCCTCCCGAAATCTATACATCGACACGTGTAAAAGAATACTGATACAAGTGATTCTTTCCTGAATGCCTATTGATTTGGTTTTAACCAGTCCACGCTAGACACCTACAGACCGGTTTCGAGCTCTCTGCCTCTCATCATTGCAGGGCAATCTCCAGCCAGCAGTCCTATATAAGACCGCCGACAAAGCGTAGCCTAGCCAAACAAAAACCGAGTCGGCATTATATTCCCTCAGAGGCGTCCTCCATAGACAATATGAAAGCAACGATGAGAGTCAAAAAGCTCGAAACCGGTCTGTAGGGGTCTAGTGTGGCCTGGCTAAATCGCAATCAATAGGCATCCAGGATAAAATCACTTGTATCAGTATTCGTTTATACGAAGCGATGCATAGATTTCGGGATAGGATGTAATTCAATGTTCTGCGTGGCATTAGCCAGGAAAGTAGTTGTTTTTCTCCCAAAACCTACCATTGTTGTTCATTTTATGAACATTGTGTGGAAATGACTTTGAGCTTTTCGTATATATTCAAGTATAATATTGCCTCTGATAATAAGCAATGAAAACGAAGGTTAACGCTTCCCTATGACTTCCAATTCTGTCTTATAAGTTGAAATGGGACTATACCGGGTGGTCCATTCAAGACTATCTACCCTCGATATCTCTCAGAATTATTATTTTACGAATAAATGACGAAACAGGTCGATTTTCATGTGGAGGGGGACACCTTTTGATGCGAAATGAATAATCCATAGTCCAGAGCCCTCTCGTTCTCGAGATATTCGAGTTCGGATGGTATGTTTTTTAATTGTGGGTAAATGTATGTAAGTAATAGATTATTGAACAGGTATTCACAAGAGATGTTCAAAATGACCTCCGATGACTCCTGGACAGTGGTAGTCTATTTGGAAATTCCTCTTGTACGTTTGAGAATGTTTCTCTTATTGATATTGCCTGGCATTCAGTTCTCATTCTTGTCTCCAAATCATCGAGGTCAATAGGTTCCGTTTTATAAATTACCGATTTTAAATGACCCCATAGGAAAAAATCATTGGGTGTCAAGTCCGGCAGACGTGCTGTCCATTCTATTGGGCCTCTACGGACCTCTATGATGATAGTAATCGAAATCTATTGGCAGATAATATTTATTCTCAACAAGATAATGTGTCACCTCATTCCGAACTCGTTGGAATTCAAAAAACTTTCCACTGCTATAGTTTCAGAATTGAATTATTACGATGTACAACACGACCATTATTCCCTATTCAAATCATTGAGGGGGTTGCGTCAAAAGGTTGTCCCCCTCCATATGAAAATTGACATGTTTCGTCATTTTTTTTTGTAAAATAATAATTCTGGGGATATAGAGGGTGGATACTCTTCAATGGACCACTCGGTATATAGGAGTGGGCGATTACAATAAATATTAACAATCAACGGATATTTCGAAAATAATCGAAAATTCCATCTATATTTATCGATATAATCTATCTTATCGATATTATATCGATAGTATATTGATATTTTTTTTATGCTCTGGTTCCCACGAAAAGGGATATCCTGTAATGTTCAGAGAACATCGTGAGAACCAAGGGAAGTCAGGTAGGAATTGGTGTTCTTCTTGAATTTCTGGAGGTTATATGCCTCGGGGAACACATCCCTTGGCAATGTGTTCCAGAGCCTCGCTGTTCGTTGGATGAACGAGTCTTTGGAAAGAGATGTTCTGCAGGTCTCCAAGGTGATCACGAAGGGATGCGAAGCCTCAACTCGACGGGTTAATCTCGCGGGGATTGCCAAGGGAGGAACAATTGTTGATATTTCAGAAGAGCATCTTCCATGAAAATATCTATAAAATAGGGCCAGATCGCCAACTTGTCTACGGTGTTCCAGAGAAGTGAGTGGGTTTGTGAGCGAGGCATCACCCACGAGACGAATTGCCCTTTTTTGGACAGAATCCAACAGTTTCAGGGTATGTTTGGGTGCTGCACTCCAAATATGGGAACAGTATTCCAGGACAGGTCGGATCTGCGCCTTATAGATATTATCGATAAACCGACAATTTTTTATCTGATTTTTTATCGATATCATGGATGTATCGATAAATTTGCCCACCCCTACCATATCGCCCAGCGAGCACAAAATAATCTCAGAGATGTTAAAAGTACGAGATTTCGAGACATTGAACCTCCACTGCGATGTTCTGTTCACACATGCATGAATAGAACTATTATAAAACAGCCAATGTCCGCCGTAGGCGGCAATTATCGAGATGTCCTTGATATGTTACAAAACTACCTTCTCCCTAGTTCTTTTTAAAGCCTTTTCATAGACACAACAAAACATTTTCAACGCGTCTTGCGCACATTAAATCGCTGTAAAAAAACATTTTCGAAGTACTTTTCTGAAGCCTTTTGTCAAAATGAACTTTTGCATTAGGATTCCATTTTCCTTGAATGAAAAAATGCATTAAAAATAGATTGAACATAAAAATATTTTCTTGATATGAAATTACCTTCTTAATCGGTTTCTGAGTAGTGCTTACTACACACAGACATATAATTGGAAATAGGTTTCCCAATTTTTGAAATATGTTCTCCACAATGCATAATTTTGCAACTGCGGAGAAGCTGTGTATTGATGAATTCGTACTTTTATATAATGATTACACTGAGGCACCGAACAACACATCTTGCATCTGATGGTCATTATTACAAACTAAATAAGTCTTCTAACACAATAAACTTCACCAAATTCCTTTCTGTTCGTTAGCAGCGTGATGTATGCGTGACACGCTGCAAACGCGAATGCCAATTGCGAACAAGAAGAACAAAATCGAAAACAAATCAGAATTCATCGTATTGTGACGTAAGCATGAGACGTTGTGGTGGGGCAAACAAAGAAAGGACACAAAAGAACAAAAATAATACTTTCAATATCCTTCTAAGACCTCTTTGGGAAGTGCATATTACGCCTCAAAAAAACATCCTCATGCCTACATTTCTAAAACATCCCAAAACATCCCAGGGATACCTCTCAGTAGGCAAACAAAGAAATGCCACAGAAGAACAAAAACAAAACTTTAATATCCTTCAAAAGGACCTCTTTGGTCAGTGCATATTACGTCTCAAAATAACATCTTCATGCCAACATTTTCAAAACATCCCAAAACATCCCAGGGATGTTTGTGCTCGCTGGGCATATACCCATATCAAATTTCATTTTGATACACCAAATATTCTAGAAGTTATGGCTTGTCTATTATATTCGTTGACCACCCGGTATTCCATAAAAATGTCGAGTAAGTACAAATCAAAAATGAAATTCTCCCAACCCATATCTGCAGGCGATGAAGCTGTTCATCGACTCCAGTTTCAAGATGGTGGACTTGAACGACGACGGCGTCATAGCAGCAGACGAGTACCGCTTCAACTGCATCACCAAGTTTCCCATCGACGACGTGGAAGTCGTAGACGAGGCTTTCAACAACATGCTCAATGTGAGTGAGATTCATTTTTTACTCCGATACATGCTTCACACCTACTTTTGTTGTGAAATATACTACTATCTAGAGATTGTTAGCACGCCCCGAAAATACCCTGTATACAAAACGTGATAAGAGCGTATTGGTATGTGTGAATTACCGACTCTGGAGGTAAAATATTGGAACACAACCCAACTTTTCTGTGAAACATTAAAATACAACCTCACTTTTTTTATTGGTTTACAAAGGAATCAAAGGATTGAAATAGTTTTTCACAATATTTTGGCATACGAATCGTGTTTTTTGCGCTATTCAGTAATTCAATAATGCCTTCTCATTAATTGTGCTGTTGTACAATAGACAAACAATAATGCAGCGAGAGTCGAAGGAATATGATTTTTCAGGTAAATAGTAATCTCACATAGTTTTCATTATGAAGTTTTGTCATTTCTTATTGGAATTACTTCTGCCACTTCTGCAATACAAGCTAAAATACTGCTAATAGATTGAAAATGTCGACAACGCACACGACAGCACGACACTATCATATTTCGTCAGCATGTATCAGACCAGTCCTCCCGTTTGATTGCATGAATCCAATCTTCTTGCATCATTTTAGAAATTTCACGAGTATATTTCTATTAGCTCCTATTGCAGAAGGAATTCCGATGAGAAATCAGAGAAATTACCAAATTTCGAAATGAAAACTATATGTGAGAGACTATATTGTCTGTCCAAGATAAGGTTGAACAGCATGGGGATCTCGGAAACGGTAGGAGATACGAAGTCGCTTGAATAAGGAAAAAGTTGCGCATTCGGAGGCTCATACCAACAGCCTTCGAAAATTTTGAAAATTATTTTTAGTTTTTGAGTTATATCGAAAAAAGTGAATTTTTGGAATTTCTATTTTTTTTTTTCTTCGTTATTATTAGAGATACAGCAAAACTGAAAATACTTTTTCATAACAACTTTTGATGACGTTTAACGTGGTGATACCGATTTTTTCATGCGACGTTTCGTATTCGTGGAACCATCATCAACCTTTGTTTTTTGAATAAGGTCCTGATAATTTTTTTCACAGATTCTGAAAAGTTTTTTTATTCTGAATTCAACCAAGGTGATTCGAATATGTTTCGACCTATTTCTATCCATCATCAATGTTTTTTCGAACTTCCAAAGGAAAAAGCCATCAGTTCCACTTATTTCTGATCATTTAGTGTCAAACTTGATGGATTAGTTATTCAATACTGAAAAGTGAATAAAAAATATTTTACCGCATCATTCGATCAATGCAGCATTTAAAATTGTAGATGAATTCTTACACGAATTACTTTAACAACTTAACTTTGACAATACCTACAGAGACATTCATAACAAATGTTCAAAATGATAACCATTATTTTCTGAACAAAGATATCCTCTTCTCACAGTTGCTTCTAAGACATTACCAAGCATTTCTGGGGTTATTCTATTGAATGCTTCGATGACACTGTCCCTTAGTTCTTCTTCATCCTCAAAGTTATTTGCGTGTACAAAGTTCGATATACCCCCTAAGAAAAAATCCAGCTGTGTCAAATCAGGCGACCGCGCCGGCCAAGGGATAAAAACGCACAGACTTCTCTGGAATTATGTACCGGAGCGCCATCTTGTTGAAACCATCAACAGTTCTGAACTTCCGCAATCGGTAAATTATCCAGAGCTTCCTCAAGATGATTCTCAAGTGAATTTCTATAACGTTCGGAAGTCTGTGTTTCATGGTAAATAGAAGGAACCATAATCCATGTACCAAATATTGCAACCCACATATTAAAGCCGAAACGGTGTTGGTGTCTCGCTGTAATGTATAAATGTTCATTTTCTCGTGAACAATAATGTGTATTTTTTTCTATCGAAGCTACCATGATTAGTGACCATGCTTTCATCAGTCCAGATGATTGTTCGAAAGAAATCTGCAAAATTTCAACATTTCCTGGTATACCACTCACAGAATGTCCTGCGCCTTTCGTCATCGCCTGGTTTTAGCGACCATATTCTGAATTTTTATGGACGGAATTTTTGTTTCCGCAAAATGAAATGGGTTGTTGATTGAAACCAGTTGATGAGGTATTAGTGTGTTGACTAATTTTCCTTCAAAATAAGTGGAACTGATGGCATTTTTCTTTGGAATTTCGAAAAAACATTGATGATGGCTGAAAATAGGTCGGAACAGACAAAAACCACTTTGTATAATACATGGTTGAATTTAGAATAAAAAAAACCTTTCAGAATCTGTGCAAAAGTTATCAGGACCGTATTTAAAAAACAAAAGTTGATGATGGTTCCACGAATACGAAACGTCCCATGAAAAAATCGGTATCACCACGTTGAACGTCATCAAAAGTTGCTATGGTAAAGTATTCTCAGATTTGCTGTATCTCTAATAATAACGGAGAAAAAATAATAAAATAGATAAGTATAGCAAAAATTCACTTTTTTCGATATAACTCAAAAACTAAAAATGATTTTTGAAATTTTCGAAGGCTCTTGACATGAGCCTCCGAATGCGCAACTTTTTCCCCATTTAACCGACTTCGTATCTCTTACCGTTTTCGAGATCCCCATGCTGTTCAACCTTATCTTGGACAGACTGTATAGTAGGTATACCTACTTTTAAATCATAATGTACCAACTGGATTCCTTTGTTTTCCGCTGCAATTTTTGTGTATTGTACAACAGCACAATGTGATGGCATGCGCGAATTAATGAATAGCCGAAAAACACGATTCGTATACCAAAATAATTGTGAAAAACTATTTCAATCACTTGTAAACAAATGAGAAAAGTGAGGTTGTGTTTCCATGTTTCACCTCCAGGGTCGGTCATCTGACAGCTCTTGCACGCATTGGAGTTCTTGAAACATTGGTTCACATTTGTTTTTTGTTTGTGCTCATTAGTATCATATCATCAGAACTAACCCAAAAACGTATCTTCCTGTAAATTGGAATTATGATCCCCCACAGATAGTATTAGCTAGGTACACCAAATTCCAAAATGATATCTTCAAAAGTGAACGAGATATTTCAATATATAGAAAAAAATTATTAAAATTTGACCCCCTGCAGCTCCGCTACTGATCGAAATTGGACTAATGTTATTTAACAATTATTAAAATTATGATATCTGTCACCAATTTCAATCTGTACCTAAATACCTGAATCACTCTGTATATAATGAATATTTGCTAATGGGTCGTTGATTTTCCAAATAGAATGATGAATCAATTGAAACATTCCGTTTATGATTCAAAACGGTCTATATTTTTTATTCTATTTTCGAATGCATACATAATAGAAGGCCAAAGCGACATAATATTTGGTACTTATTTTTAGCAACGCCACTGTCACTGCAAGACTGTCTACTAAAAAATTAAGTAGGTACACGCAGTGGGAATAAAATTGTTGGCATCAGATGCTGACTAATTACTTAAGAATTAAGTCTAGTTTATTCGACTATTAATATTGTTCAAATTTGTTTACCGGGTGGCGATAAAAGTTTTCAAACTTTTACTTTTTGAAAAAACCGAATATTCGCGATTGATTTCTTTTTATGACTAATTGAATAGATGCAACAAAACAAACTACCAGATTTTCAAACCGACGTTTCGTCTTTGAGCTGCTATCATCAACTTAGTTTTTCAAATATGGCCCCTGGACTTTTTATTATGAATTTAAAGAGCTTTTAATACCCTAAAATAAACGATGTATCTCAGTTAGAGAGACTCAGAAAATATTTTTAATAGGATTTCAAACAAAAACCTTATTCCTCGCATTTTTTCAAATAGTGCAATAATACACATGCACCGTTGATTGTATAAGATTAAAAGCTCTCAAAATCCTGAATAAGAAATTCAGGGTCATATTTAAAAAAATCAGAAGTAAAAAACCATCTTTAATAAAACGCTTTTATTTAAACGCTCTAAAAATAATAAAATAAAATGTTCTTCTATAATTTCAACTTTCAAGTTATATCGCGCGATTTCCTTGTGTGATTAAAATATTATGCTAATTTAATTTTGTAATATCTGCTGAGTTTGAATTTTTGAAATTTCAATTCAATTAAATATTGATCATTGCAAACATATATATGATATATCATATAAATTGTGTATAATATGAGGTTATAAGTTGATATATATAGTTGAAATTATAAAGGAACATTTTATTTTATTCTATTTAGAGTGTTTGAATAAAAGCATTTTTTTAAAAATGTTTTGTTGCTTCTGATTTATTTTTTAATTTTTAGTTATCGCTGGCTAGGTTTCTGCTCAGTCTCATCATTTCATTCAACTGTTCGTCGTTGATTAATTCCCGAATTACTACTTATCTGACAATCATATAATATATATGGAAATAACGTCAGGCAAAATAGGCACAAATTAGCGAGCGACAAAATAGTGCGGAACAAATAGCGAATAAGGAAGGATACTACTTTTTCTAAACAATCTAACATAACTCGGCTTAAATGAACCTTCTTAGAAAAAATATATTTTTCAACATCGATCAGATTTGGTAGCAAGGCATCGTTCGTGTGTGTTTGAAGACTGCATAAAAAAGGACACTACTTTTTCCAAACAATCTAACCTAACTCACTTAATTCAACCTTCTTCCCACAAAACATATAATACTATTTTCCAACATCGTTCAGAAATGAAGGAAATGTGGGTGGGCCTAACGAGATGTTTCCATCTGTATTATAGACAATCAGAACCTACCTGTAGTCGCTCTTCCTATATCCTGCGCGGTGCGCGGTACCTCGTAATGAATATTTCAAAATGGCTCTGTTTCTTTTCGATTTTGTCGGATAGCTCGGCACGCAAAGGATATATAGTTACATTGAAGACTGTTTTTGAAATCAAAATGAATGAAGCAATATATTTCTCCGATACAACTTGGTAACCACACATTTCCTCACCACGGGAATCGGATTTTTGTTTACTCGTTACCATGACGATCGTTGCCATATGGTGATAGTTTTTCCATAACTGATTATTTCAGCCAAACTAAACCCGATTCAACTTGACAACCACGCATTTCGTCACCACGGGAATCGGGTTTTTGTTTACTCCTTACCATGACGATCGTTGCCATGGCAACAGTTTTGCCATAACTGTTTTTAGCTATACTAAACCCGATACAATTTGGCAACCACGCATTTCCTCACCACAGCGAAATATGATTTTTGTTTACTCGTTACCATGACGATCGTCGCCATGGCAACAGTTTTTCCATAATTGAGCTCCGAGTTGCTCTCAACGAGCCCTTTCATTTGATACCCATATTGTAGAAGTGCATCAAAAATAACTATTTCGCCATCTTGGATGGTCCACCATATTGGATTCGGAATGACGTCACATTATTTTTCGAGTTACTCTCAACGAGTCCTTTCATTTGATACCCATATTGTGGAAGTGCATTAAAAATAACTATTTCGCCATCTTGGATGGTCCGCCATATTGGATTCAGAATGACGTCACATCATTTTTCGAGTTACTCTCAACAAGCCCTTTCATTTGATACTCATATTGTAGAAGTGCATTAAAAATAACTATTCCGCCATCTTGGATGGTCCACCATATATTGTATTTTGAATAATTTCACACACCTTATCCCGCATTGTCAGCTGGGTTGAAGATATCAAGTTAAATAAAAGCTTTTAAAAAATAACAGACTTGATGATGGCACCTCAAAGAAGAAGCATTGGTTTGAAAATCTGATAACACCATTTAGTAGAACAAAAAAGTAGATGAATTTTCCTTGAAATTGATTTCAAGTTGTGGTAATTTGTGATTTTATACCCCGATGATGAAAACATGGGAAAATATTAAACTAGATTTTTTTTGTTTTAGGATGATGATCGTAGAAGGGGTGGTATTACCCTATCAAGATATCAAGAATTGTATGCAGAATTCTTGGGTAACCCTGAAGAAACCCCAGCAATGTACCTGTTTGGACCTCTTTCAGAATTCTTCTACAGTGATGATTTTGTACACCTAGACAATGTTTAGATTAATTGATATTAGGATTTTTAGTTCATTGAAGAAACAACAATGTTGCATTTTTTAAGTTTTGTAAATAAAAGTATTACTGGTATTTTTCAGATTTTATTAGTGAATATTTCTTCTTACATTTACATTATATAGGTATAATCAAATATCTAATATACATTCCTCTTTAATCAAATTATCTTTTTAAAAAATGGCATCACAAAAATAATAATATATAAAACACTGATACATTTCAGTGTGACAAAAAGTCCTTAGTGGCAATTCTACTAACAACTGAATCTAAAATAGAGCTACTTTTAGATTCTTTGTCACTAATTTTATAAACTTTTTTTATCAGAGGTAAATTACTTAGTTCCTTCAACATATCCATTGGAACTTCTTTGCCAGAAATTTGATTGAATATATCATTCACATCAACAGGCTCATCAAACTTATGAATAAGAACAACTAACAACTCATTATCACTGTCTCCTATGCCAAAAGTCTGTAAACTTTTTGATATATTCTTAGAAATTGATAGGTTGAATAATACCTCAGTGTATATAGATTTGGTAGTGATTTTATCACTTGTTACAGCTTTATTAGCTGCCACCACTATTTGAAATGGATCATACACCAAGGAAGGTTTTATCATACAACACTGTAGACTACCTTTCATCAATTTTGCTCTTAGCTCCTTTGCATTAACTACATTTTTATAAAGCTTCAGGTATACTTTTGAGTCTGTTATAGAGTACACATCCATTTTCTCAAGGGTTAAAAGTGAATTTCAGTACCTAATCTACTGTAGTTCTAGTAGGTATTCATTTTCCACGCGAAAACCTGAAATTCACAAAGATAATTAATTTCCCTAGATAGGGTCAAAAATCTTAATCAGAATCGCACAGTTTATTTTCACAAAAATGAATGATTTTCACTTACATCTTACATCTACATCAAAGTTTCAAATTTTAAAGAGGTTATGTCACATCTTCTTCTTCTTCCTTTCGGTTTGGATGGCCTTAGTTACCTGGGTTATATGTTATATGGCCAATGATTATGATGGAAGTAAGTAGATGGTGTACTTACTGAAGCGCTTTTGTTTTTTAGAAATTCTTCTTTACCTCTCCCGTCAGACAGTCTAGATATTCAGCTGTCATTGCCTCTCGAGAACAATGGTTTTGACAATCTTCTAATAGATGGCGACATTGTACAATTATGACTAAGGTTTGTAGAACTGATGATAATTTGTGTTAGGCTGTGACGTAGAGATGATAGTAAGCAGTTGAGTGATTTTTCTTGAGTTTCCAATACGTAAAAATGATCGAGTACGCTCACCATCTACTTATTTCCATCATTAATGTAACTATGGCAACCAGCCTTGATTAAGAACACTATTCTTATATACATCTCAGTCAGTCCTGAACCAATGTAATTCTGTATGAAATTGCAATATTTTACTGTTTCTTGTTTTATCAGTACCTACTTGTAACGTCATTAACCCAACTTGGGAGTAATTTTTCAAATTGAATGCAACCTGATTACTGATTTTCTCCACGTACGACTTGCGTGCATTTAGACAGATTCTTGTCATGACTCATTTATCATTTATGAATATGATATGACAGCCAGCATGACGTCATCACTGGAACCTTTAAAATCTTTGGATTTTTTATTTATTGACAATAATTTATGCTGTTGGATTTGAAATCCTTGATTTGAATATTGTGGATTTTTAAAATACCATTCTATAAACGAGGTCAATTTTTTGACGCTGCTTCCAGTTATAAAATTTGAAGGAATATTCAATTTTTAACTTGTTTAGTCGCCTTGAGAAGAGGTATGGTATATTTGTTATTGAACTTGTTTACATTTCTAAAATTTCTATATTTAAAAATCATAAGAATTATGAATGTGAGAATTATAGCTATCCTACTTCATTTCAAGGTGTTGCCCTATGTAGAGATGCACTTTTTATTTATAAATAAAAATAGAACATATAGGGAACTAGTGTCTTGCTATTTTTAGAATATCTCCTTGGGGAAAAATAGTTTTTAAATAGAATTGAAATACCCATATTCGTTCATGGAAATGAATTCTTCCAGCAGATAACAAGATATGGATACAAGAGGTAGGTCCAGATCCAAAACCCCATTTACTGGGGTTGAAGAATTTTCCAAGGAGTTTATTGAAAAAGAGAGCCTTACTGAAAAAACAATTATAAGAAGCACTACTTACAGGTGAGAGTTTCCTTCCTTAGTCAATTGGAGGCAAAATGATCATATTCTAAATTGTTTTCAGGACTGAAGAAAGCTCAACAAAGTCAACTGATGAAGTCACATCAGTGATTGACAAACCAATCAGGAAATCAACCAGATCAGAAAGGAGTTTCAGAAATTTGTACAAAACCTCAGATTATTCATCAGAAGATGGAGAAAATGAAGTCAGTTCCACCAAAAGTATTTCCCAGAATGACAAAAATCAGCTCATTGAAGATGCTAGGGCTGCAGCAAATGGGAGCAGTGAAGTTTCTGCTCTTGACTTGTACAAGAGGTCTGGCAGATATTGGGAGTAAGTCACTTAAATCTCACTAATATTATTTGTCCATTGTTCTTATTTTATCTGGAAGCAATTGGAATAACATTTCTTGAAATCAAGTCAAATTGGTAGCCTACAATTATCATATTGATGAAAAAAGGTTAAAGACAAGCTTAATTCTCTATTCTCTATGAATGTCTGCTAAGTGTCTTGAAAATTGTGAATAATTTGCCAATAATCCGTTCTTGAATACAGAACATGAAATGTTGCTCAACAGTACTTTTGTCTCCCCCTGTATATGTGGCATTGACCAAGGCATAGACCAGGGCCTACTCTAGTTTAAAATCAAGCAAAAATTATTTGGAGTCAACTTAAATTGGTAGAAAATTGGCAGACAAGCTGATGAATGTCTAGAAAGTCGTGAATAATTTATCAATATCCTGTTTTTAATACAGAAATAGTGATAAAACTGTGTGTAATTATCTGTTGAGTGTTGATTGAAGTACCCTGCAGATCACACAATTACATTTTGCTGTTCAAAATGGTTTGAAAGTTGTAGAAAGGCAATATAATGATGTTGAACTCACCCTGTATAAGTTGTAAATGTTCTGTTTTTGAATACATAAGTCAAAATATTGCTTATCAGTAGTTTTTACATTCAGTGTATGAATGATAAAACTAAGAGTGCATCATTTTGAGTATGTATTTTTTCATGTGTAAGTATCTGTTAATTGAAGCATCCTGTAGATTTTTGTATTGCCAAATGGCATGAAAGTTGTTAACTCATCCTGTTTAAGTAGCTTTCACACTGTATTATCACAGTATACACTGGATGTATACTGTGATATTATATGAACAGTGTTTTCATTTTAATTGCAAAAATACAACGTTGTGTCATTTTGGGTGAGTATTTTTTTGTGTGTAAGTGTTTGTTGATTGAAGCACCCTGTAGATCACACAATAACATTTTGTTGTATTGCCAAATGGTTGGAAAGTTGTGGAAGGGAAAACACTGTCTTTAACTCATCCTGTTTAAGTAGCTTTCACACTATATTATTTGTCCAGTATTTTCATTTGATTTGAAAGCAACTGGAATAACATTTCTAAAACAACAATTATCATATTGATGAAAAAAGGTTAAAGACAAGCTTAATTCTTCATGAATGTCTGCTAAGTGTCTGAAAATTGTGAATAATTTGCCAATAATCTGTTCTTGAATACAGAACATGAAATGTTGTTCAACAGTACTTTTGTCTTCCCCTGTATGTGTGGCATTGACCAAGGCATTGACACTATATCATATGTCCAGTGGTTTTATCTCATTTGAGTCCAACTTTTTAAAATCAAGCAAAAATTATTTGGAGTCAACTTAAATTGGTAGAAAATTGGCAGACAAGCTGATGAATGTCTAGAAAGTCTTGAATAATTTATCAATATCCTGTTTTTAATACAGAAAAAGTGATACAACTGTGTGTAACTATCTGTTGAGTGTTGATTGAAGTACCCTGCAGATCACACAATTACATTTTGCTGTTCAAAATGGTTTGAAAGTTGTAGAAAGGCAATACACTGATGTTGAACTCACCCTGTATAAAATGTAAATGTTCTGTTGTTGAATACATAACTCAAAATATTGCTTATCAGTAGTTTTTTCACTCAGTGTAAGAATGATAAAACTAAGAGTGCATCATTTTGGGGATGTATTTTTTTATGTGTGAGTACTTATCTGTTAATTGAAGCACCCTGTAGATCTCACAATAACAGTTTGTTGTATTGCCAAATGGTTTGAAAGTTGTGGAAGGGAAAACACTGTTGTTAACTCATCCTGTTTAGGTGGCTTTCACACTATATATATACAGGGTGATTCAGGTTTTAGAGCACAAACTGAAATGGGAGGTAGATCTCATCATTTTAATCAGAAAAGTTTATATATACATCAGTTCGATCTCGTTCAGTAGCGGAGCTACAGGGGGTCAAAGTCTCAGTCAAAGTTTAATTATTTTTTTCTATTAATTGAAATATCTTGCTTACTTTTCAAGATATCATTTTAAAATTTGGTATGGTCGATAATATTTAGAATATCATCATTTCAAGCCATTTTAAGATTTTCAAAATCTACAGGGTGATACGGTTTTGGGGGTAGAGGCTTCTTTATCCCCCCCAAACTTTTTCGTAGTATGCCTCTGGCATCTTCTTGTGATCAAATTTTGTGGATCGTTCAATTTAGAGGCTTTTTTGTTCCCTAATTTTTTTCGAGAAACGAACTGTTTTTGGGGTAATTGAGCATATACGTTCTGAAACATGTTAATTCTGCCTATATGTTTCGCTTAAATTTTTGCCTATATGTTTCGCTTAAATTTCATTTAACTGAAAAAAATCTCGACTTTCTTCCCTCCGTATTCCCGTAACTGATCCAGATTGCACTAGTGATTGCAATTTTAGTGAGTACATTTCATTGTATTCTCAACGAATTTTGTCAAAGAATAAAATTTAAGCGAAACATAGGCAAAATTAACATGTCTTAGAACGTATATGCTCATTTATCTCAAAAACGGTTCGTTTCCTCGAAATGAATCAAGAAGCAAAAAAGCCTCTAAATTGAACGATCCACACAATTTGATCAGTGAAAGATGCCAGAGGCGTACGACGAAAAAGTTTGGGGGGGATAAAGAAGCCTCTACCCACAAAAACCTATCATCCTGTAGATTTTGAGAACCTTCAAATAGCTTGAAATGATGATCTTCTAGGAAGTATTGACCACACCAAATTTCAAAATGAAATCCCAAGAAGTAAGCGAGATATTTCAATTAATAGAAAAAAATTATTGAACTTTGACCCCCTGTAGCTCCGCTTCTGGACGAGATCGGACTAATGTTTATATGAACTTATCTGATTGAAATGATGAGATCTATCTCCCATTACAGTTTGTGCCTCAAAACCTGAATCACCCTGTATATACAGTATACACTGGATGTATACTGTGATATTATATGAACTGTGTTTTCATTTTATTTGAAAAAACAAGGTTGTGTCATTTTGGGTGAGTATTTTTTTATGTGTGTTTGTTGATTGGGGCACCCTGTAGATCATAAAATAACATTTTTTTGTATTGCCCAAATGGGTTGAAAGTTGTTAAAGGGAAAAACACTGTTGTTCAACTCAATCCTGTGTAAGTGACCTTCTTTAAGTCCAAATTTACCATAAATTTGTAAAATCCAATTTTCAGGGCATACTATGTTTTTTGTTCAAATTGTGAAATATCATTAGCTATTTTCTTCATATGTAATACCACAAGTGATACTATTTTTCTGGAAATATTCGGCGATTGTTAGGACAGCTTGTTGCCTAATAATTTCACCGAATGACATTGTTTATTAAAACTTTCAAGCAGTAGGCGAGAAGTTTTGGAACAATGTCATGATCGTAACTAAAACAGCAAGCTGGAGTATGTCAAGCAACGAATATTTCCAGGAAAAATAGTATTACCAGTTGTATTCCTATGGGTATTCCATGATTGAGACAATAAACGAGCGGCTCGCGAGAGTTGCGCACACTGCATATATCATTCTGGCTTCCAACATAATTGACGTTTTAAACGTCCAAAATGTTATCAACCGTAAAAACACAAGAGCTTTTTTTTACCGGATAAATTTCCCTTGGTAACGAAAATCATTTGCCGATCAGTAATTTTACGAGAAAAACTGACATAAAGAATTTGCGAGACCTGTGAATAATTCATTTTACAACAGCAATTGACAGTTGTTGTTGTCAACTCACTCTCCGCGCGGACCAGAGTTGCCAGATCGATTTTTTTTCCTCAGTAAATTCCTCTATTTTATTCTATACGAATTCCAAGGAAGGACAAAACCTATGCAGTTCAAACGTTATGTACTTTTAGTGAACAAAAGAGTAACCTATTCCCAACTAAATAGTAATGAACAAAATAAACATTCTCATAAAAAATAATCATATTCCTGATTCTCAGTTTGAAAATACTCACAAATATATCACAAAATACAATTGCGTAGGTACTTATAAGATTTGAGTATATAAAAAACAGAAACGAATAGTAAAAATAACAACAAAAATACAGAACAAATAAACAAATTAAACGTACGAAACAAACTGTTATAACAGAGGTTTATAAAAAATCGATTTTGATCTGAATCAGATAAAGTATGGTCCTTTTTTGGTTTATAAATATCATTATTAACTATATATAAATTTATTACTTATTTTGTAAAATTAATTTGAACAGAGCGTGCCGACATATCATGTAATTTATAAGTGTATGTGATTAACTAAAGACTAATAATAAGGTAGGTAATTATAATGATAAATTAGTTTCAAAATATGTCTCAGTAGGTTATGAAATGTTTCAGTAGATCACTAAATCAATATGCAAATCAGGAGATCTACGGAAAATCCAGTAGAACTGGCAACCCTGCAACGGACGAAAAGTGTAATAGTCGGTTTTTCGTTTGGAAATTAGAACGTAAAATGTGATTTTTTGTAGAGGTCGACGAAAAAACAGATTCATAGAGAAATGATAATCCGTACCACACGGAATATTTATTGTTGCCCCCGTAAAAAATATATATTTTCAATAAAAAGTATCGTATGTCCTTCCTAATACATCATAGAATATGTATACAATTTCATGATGATCGGTTGAGTAGTTTTGGCGTGAAAGAACGACAAACAAACATACATTCACATTTATAATATTGGTAGAGATTCCACTTCGTGGTTACGTTAGGTACTAAACAACAACTAATTACGCAATTGATTTAAATCAAAACACAGAAATAAATTGACACATATTCGATTACTTCAAAAGGTTTCCATAGCAACAACATCGATAATTTTATGAATTTATTCTCGTTTTTTTTTGTATGACCATCTCGAGCTAAAATCTAATACCCCCTTGTAAAATAAATAACTATTATTCCTTCTAGAAATTCTATAGACGCCTATGCTATACAGGAATCTGATCCACGTGAGACAAAAAACATTGAAGAGTTTTTGTTTGATAAAAAACTTTTTTTATGGTGGCATGCTTTCGTCCATAAATTCATTTGAAGAAACAGTAAATTGTTTTCAGTGAATGAAAGGATCATAATGTTATTATAAGTTTTGTGATATGGTGTTATGTTTGTGATTTTTTAATTTTTATGTAAGTCACACTTTTTTCATTACACGTATGATCATTAACGATTTGCTACAGGCTAGAATCGTTAATTTTTTTGAGCTCACTGAAGTGAATCCAAATTATGTTTGTGGTATATCTTGAAACATTGATATAATTATTGTCAACATTTCTGTACAAGTACTATAATATGCTTCAATTTCCATCCATCTATCATAATCGATAAGCAAGATTTTTGAATTTACAGAAATATAAACAAACTTTAAGTATTTATAAACAATGTGCTGTGAAATCATTTTTGATTGAAATATTCTATGTTGGGAATTTATTTGAAATAAACAGAAAAAAATGTAATAGGTACGTCAGTACCAAAAAAAAAAGTTGTCTGAAAAACACGAATTTGATAATGAAAATGTGAACAAACCACTATTTATCGAGATATATCAAGAAAAAGTTCGAAATTTCGCGTTCTTTTTCCCCTTGTGTTGGGGGCATTTCAGGTACTTGCTCTTCTTATTTTGTCATTGGACATTTCATACTCATGATGTACTTCAATGACACATTTTTATTTAGGAAATTCATCAGGAAATATGATTTTTGTGGCGAGTTTTTCATATTTAGTAAACAATCATCCCAGATGACGACCATTCAATCAATTCTTCTTCTTCTCTTTGGGTTTATTGGATTTCTGTCTCCTTTCGGTAACAATTTCTCAGATCAGGTAATTAATTTTTTCAGCCTGGGAGATGGTTTATGCGGTACCTCAGTGTTTGTAATATAAAAAGGCCAAAAATGAATTTGAACAAATTGATCGCCCTATTACTTTGATTTCGATTTTAGTGAACTTTCGACCAAATCATAGATTCATATTCAGGAACGGTACCCTGAATTCTAGTTCCGAAGAAAAGCTGATGGCTCTGTTTCACTCTTTACGCAATAATAATAATAAAATATCTAATCCATTTTAATCAATAGGTGCGTTTTTTTGGTTTCCCACTGGTGGCAGTAGAATTGACGACCAATAAAACGATGTGTTTCATTTTGAGAGTTGTGACATTCTGCTGATCATTTTTAGGTTATTTGACAATAATATAATTCCGGGATCTTGCTGTTCATCTGTACATAATTATAATTCATAATGGATGATGTTCTTCCCGCTTTCTTGTTGTCCTCGGTATTACAAGGCAAAATATATTGATATTTATCTATGAAGTTGACCCCATAATACTTGAAAGGATTTTTTACTTGTTTGAGTCTTTTGATGTTATCTACTGGAATAATTGACTAAATGCATGTTAATACTTTCAGATTTTCTAGCATTATCTTACCAAAAATTCAAATTATTATGAAAAAGTAATACCGCAAAATTTTTCAACATTCAAAAGTCATTTCAGGAGTCCAGTATTGTTTGAAAGTATCCTGGGTATAGAATTGCAAACAATTCCAAAATATTTCCTGAAGCGAGTTCACTTTTATGCAGTTTTTAAGTCAGATGTTCTGGTTAGAGTATCTGAAATACCGCCATTTCCGTAATTTCATACACTCCCTCCACAATCATCTTCCTGTCATTCCGTATGAGAAGACGGAATGAAAAGTTGAAACCAGTTTCAGATTTTCGTTCAATAAAACTACTGTTACATGATATTGGAAAAGGCATAAAACATAATCATAATAGATACATAGATACATAAAATAAAGTAACATTACAAATATCACAGGTAAAAGCTGACAAAACAATTATTATGAGTAGATAATTGAAATTGTGAGAGGCACAGGAGAATCATAAAAAAAATTATTGACAAGATATATTCCAGTGTAGCATTTTCATCCATCTAGAAATTCGTTCACTTTATAGTAGCATTTACTTACAAGGTGGTTTCTCAATTTATTTTTGAAGGTGTTGTGATTGGTTTCATTTACAATCTCTAGTGGTAATTTATTATACAGGGTGATTCAGGTTTTGAGGCACAAACTGTAATGGGAGATAGATCTCATCATTTCAATCGGATAAGTTCATATAAACATTAGTTCGATCTCGTCCAGAAGCGGAGCTACAGGGGGTCAAAGTTAAATAATTTTGTTCTATTAATTGAAATATCTCGCTTACTTCTTGAGATTTCATTTTGAAATTCGGTGTGGTCAATACTTCCTAGAAGATCATCATTTCAAGCTATTTGAAGATTCTCAAAATCTACAGTGTGATAGGTTTTTGTGGGTAGAGGCTTCTTTATCCCCCTCAAACTTTTTCGTCGTACGCCTCTGGCATCTTTCACTGATCAAATTGTGTGGATCGTTCAATTTAGAGGCTTTTTTGCTTCCTGATTCATTTCGAGAAAACGAACCGTTTTTGAGATAAATGAGCATATACGTTCTAAGACATGTTAATTTTGCCTATGTTTCGCTTAAATTTTATTCTTTGACAATCACTAGTCCAATCTGGATCAGTCACGGGAATACGGAGGGTAGAAAGTCGAGTTTTTTTTTCAGTTAAATGAAATTTAAGCGGAACATAGGCAACATTAACATGTTTGAGAACGTATATTCTCAATAATCTCAAAAACAGTTCGTTTCTCGAAAGAAATTGAAGATCATGAAAGCCTCTCAATTGAACGATACAATTTGATCACAAGAAGATGCCAGAGGCGTACTACGAAAAAACGTAAAAGTTTGGGGGGGATAAAGAAGCCTCTACCCCCAAAACGGTATCACCCTGTAAATTTTGAAATTCTTAAAATGTCTTGAAATGATGATATTCTAAATAGTATCGACCACACCGAATTTTAAAATGATATCTTGAAAAGTAAGCGAGATATTTCAATTAATAGAAAAAAAATATTGAACGTTGACCTCTGAACGCTACTGAACGAGATCGAACAGATGTATATTGTATACAGGGTGGGCCACCAGTAACGCCTCGGTCTCTAGAAGGCTAACCACTTATCTTCTTGGAATTCTTCCTCTCTAGGAAGTTGCATGTCAACATAGGCTACCATTTAAAATTATTTCGAAACATACAGGGTGTCCCCAAAAACCATAAAACACTGAAGTTAAACTTTTTTCTATCGAACACCCTATATATTATATCATTTTGAGATTCTCCCTGGTGAGCTGATTTCAACAATCCATCATACTTGGGGTCTAGCAGTTATAATTACTGAGATATAGGGTGTGAGAAATCGAGATTTTCCAAGTTCAAGAATTTTTTGTGTCTAATCCATTCATAATTGGTCAAAACGGCTCACATGTCCCTATCTCAACTTTTGATCAACTATCTACTGACATTTTATTGAAACAAATACAGGGTGGTGCAGAATTCAGAATCTTGATCACCCGGTATATGTCCCAATCAAATATCAGTAGATAGTTAATCAAAAGTTGAGATAGGGACATGTAAGCCGTTTTGACCAATTATAAATAGTTTCGACACAAACAATTCTTGAACTTGGAAAATCTCGATTTTTAACACCCTATATTTCAGTAATTATAACTGCTAGACCCCAAGTATGATGGATTGTTGAAATCAGCTCACCAGGGAGAATCTTAAAATGAAATAATAGGGTGTTCGATAGAAAAAAGTTTAACTTCAGTGTTTTATGGTTTTTGGGGACACCCTGTATGTTTCGAAATAATTTTAAATGGTAGCCTATGTTGACATGCAACTTCCTAGTGAGGAAGAATTCCAAGAAGATAAGTGGTTAGCCTTCTAGAGAACGAGGCGTTACTGGTGGCCCACCCTGTATATGAACTTTTCTGATTAAAATGATGAGATCATTTCAGTTTGTGCTCTAAAACCTGAATCACCCTGTATAACTGAATATAGTAATATAGATCTCATGAAGTATATACAACGCACAGTAAGAAGATTGTTTTTAATGAAATATGATTTGCAGGAATCAGTACGTTTTATTCCAAATATTAATCGTATAATCCTCTTTTGTAATATCATCAGTCTTTGAGATGAAACTGCATTTCCAACAACTATGTTATATGTTAGATGGAGATATATCGCTGCATAGTATAAGTTGATCAGCTGATGTCTATTAAATATGTTTCTCAGCTGAAGAATGGCATAGAATCCACTGTTGATTTTTTTTACTGATATGATGTATGCAGTTTTTGCCCGCAAGGCAACCAACACCCAAAATAAATTGCTTGAATAGTTTTGCAGTATAATCAAATTCGGAGAGATAAATTTCTTCACCATTTCCTGTTGGCGGCAAAGAAAAATGGTATCATATTTTACCAGTTTCTCCTGAAATACTTCCTCGCCATATCAAAATGAAAAGATCGAATTCTAGTTTTGTCATCCCTTCACAGTCTTCATACTTCATTTCGCATCAGTCATTTGTCGAAAACTTCTTTTCCATCTACATATAGAATCAACTTGACATAACCTTGGTTTTTAGTTTTGTTCTCGAGTCTGGAAGCTAGTTTATTATTTTATATATAATTCAGTGTCTGTTATACAAAAAAGGTCAGAAATAAATTTGAACATATGGATCGCCCTATACATTTTTTAATTCCAGTCCGATTTTAGTGAAATTTCGACCAAATCATAGATTAATGTGGAGGAATGTTAGCATGGATTCTAGTTCTCAATGAAAGCTGATAGGGGTTGATCATAATACAAAGAAAAACAAAAGTTACTTTTCACTCTTTGTTTCTTAACGCAATTTGTTCGCTTGTTGCTACCTATGAAAGCTCCAGCTGCCTGGTATTCACTGTTCCTTCAAGTAGTATTGGGTGCTGCTCTGTATCCGGCTCGAAGAACCAATATGTCTCTTTCCAGTCCGATTCTAGTGAAATTTCGACCAAATCATAGTTTAATGTTTGGGAATGTAGCTGCCTGGCATTCACTGTTACTCTAGGTAGTCTTCAATGCTGTTCTTTATCTTTTGTGATGAACTTGGCAGTCTTGAGAGTTTGATTCGAATAGATCCGGCTCGAAGGACCATTATGTTGAGTGCTTTTATAGATAGTGGAATGTATTTGTATGGATATATGAAACATAATATGGAGAAAAGTGAATTGATTAATTATGTTTTGGATTCAAGTGTGATTTCTTCTTTAAGGAAGAAACTAACATGAAATTATAAAAAAATCGTGATAATATGTAATTTGTCTGTCAGTATCTACCCGAAAACCGATTGGACGTACTCCCCCCATTCGAGAGACCGCGTGGAATTAGCTCCCGGCGTGGTGGCCATGCCGAACATGTCCCGCAAGACCATCCATTCCGTCCATTCTGAGGACAGCTCGTTCGCCGATTTCGCCCACAAGGAGACCAACACCGAGGCTTATTTGAGGCAGCAGCAGGAATACAGGCCGCGGCAGCTGTTCAACAACAACCACGAATACGAGACACGGAAGAAGGTGAGTGGATTTTTTTAATATTCTGGTTCCCATGAAAAGGGATTTCCTGTAATGTTCAGAGAACATCGTGAGAACCAAGGGAAATAAGGTAGGAATTGGTGTTCTCCTTAAATTTCTGGAGGTTATATGTTTCGGAGAACACCTCCCTTGGCAATGTATTCCAGAACGTTGTACGTTGGATGAACGAGTCTTTGGAAAGAGATGTTCTGCAGGTCTCCAAAGTGACTACAAAGAGGTGCGAAGCCTCAACTCGACGGGTTACTCTCGCGGAGACTGCCAAGAGAGGAACAATTGTTGATATTTCAGAAGAGCATCGTCCATGAATATATCTATAAAATAGAGCCAGATCGCCAACTTTTCCACGGTGTTCCAGAGAAGTGAGTGAGTTCGTGAGCGAGGCATCACCCACGAGACGAATTGCCCTTTTTTGGACAGAATCCAACAGTTTCAGGGTATGTTTGGGTGCTGGGAACAGTATTCCAGGACAGGTCGGATCTGTGCCTTATAGATCATAAGCAGCTGACTGAAAGTGAAATAGCTCCTGGCCCGAAACAGAAAACCAAGTTTTTGGGATCCCCATTCGAGAATTGTTGCCAAGTCCATATTTATGTTGTCAACATTTCTCCCTCGTTCGTTTCTGATTTGCCTGGCTAGTATTGGAGCCCTGGAAGAGAAGGCGGTATGGAGGGAACTATCAACAAATCGTTGATATGGAGTAGAAATAATGTTGGTGCTAGAATTGATCTTCGCTAGAATTAATCAATATTTTTAACGAAAGGGAAGAACCTTATTATCACAATTGAAACGAGAAACCCTACAAATTTATTTTGTAATATTGATTACAAGGTTAGAAATATAACCTAAAAAATGAAACCGAACCTAAGAAATCTTAAAACTTCAACACTATGTATATCGATAACGAAGCGTTTGCGGACACACACTTATAGAAAATAAGTTCCTGAAATCTTGATATTGAGTTTTAAAACATCCTGTATAGACAGATTATGTTTAAATTGTTGAGCAGTTCATTTGATTGTCCAAATATTCATATGCATGAAACAAAAACACACGTGAATGACCCTGTATTCCATTTTACATTTCATAAATTGAATTTCTTTCCACTTCTCGCTATGTATCGGCATATCCTTAGTCATAGATAAATTACTTGTTTGGTTTTATCGGTTAGGTAGGTTACGTAACTGAAAATTAATCATCAAGATGATGAATCGATGATGAATCGAAAGACAAGCATCAGTCTCGCATAAAATTTCATCGCGAATGGTCGATTCAAGAGGATAAAAAAAAAGATCAAGTGACAAAATGAAGTTACTTGTTCAATTTAGTGATTATATTAGTGCATTTGTGAGAGATGTTATGTGTGTGTGTAGTGTGAAGTTTAAATGCTGTGGAAAATTTTCTAACATTACAAGATGGTAAAAGTGTTTGCATTGTTTTATCGCGGAACACCAGCATTCATGACGAGATATTCAGATGAAACTTCGTCGACCACTACATGGAGAGACCTGTTTTAGAGAAAACTAGCTAGCAGAGAACATAGCTGGGGAGGCAAGCCAAAAGATGGAAGCTTGGCGAGGAGTCCGTGGTGCCAGACTCGATCGAATGCCTTGGAGATATCAAGTGCTACGGCTAAGGTTTAATCATATTTTTCAATAGATTGCTGCCATTTATGTGAGATGTAAGCGAGCAGGTCACCAGTTGATCTCTGATGACGGAAGCCATATTGCCTATCGTTGATAATACCTGAATGTTTCAGGTATTTCATGAGCTCGATGTTGATAACTTTCTCCATGTTCTTTGAAATAATAGATAGCAGTGCGATCGGTCTGTAGTTGCTAGATAGGGTCTTTTTGTCTTTTTTAGGAACTGGTTGTACTCTTGCAATTTTCAGGTGTTAGTTCGGGACCCACTAAAATCTTCCTTATAGTATGTTGGCGAAAGGTGATCTCGGGCATATGACTGTCAATTATTGGCGTTATGTTTGGAGGTTGTTTTCCCGATGAATCCAGAGTGGAATTTCCAGCAAATAAATGCGCAAAAATGTTGACTTTCTCCTGGGCAGTTGTGGGTAGTGTTCCATCTTCCTTGGTTAGAGGAGGAAACGAGCTGGAAGTGGAGTTTCTTCCTATAGCTTTGGCAAAGGACCAAAATGAACGGAATCAGTTAGGACATTCAACAAGTTTTGATATTATTTTAGCATTATGAGCATCCTTTGATGATCGGTGAATTTTCAACGAACGTCTACTGTCAGAATATCCCTTTAATTGACTATGTTTCGAATTCAACTGTCAGTACTGAATCTGCTGAGTTTTCATTCCAAAATCAACAAAATTCACTGACCACCAAAAGGTAGTGTGGAGTCAGCAAACTGTCAATAACGGAATGAACATATTTTTAGGATATGAAAATATTACTGGGTGTTTCAGAGTTCAACAAAATATGAAAACATGTTCATATGAATATGGGACTTCGAATACAAACTGCCGTATTTTATATAATATTTTCAAATGGACCTTGAATTGGTATATAAAAATCCTGGCCTTGGACCAAACTCTGCCTCACTAGACAAATACAGCTGTCGGATGGCGATGATAGATTCAACTGACTTGTCCAGCTGATGAATATTTTTGAACTGGCTGATGCACGAGGTATATGGCAGAATCAAATTCAGAATATCTTGAAGAGTAACAAGAATTTACTTCTCAATGAACTCCGCCAGAAACTTTTCGAGACAGATCTGTCTTCAAGTCAACGCTCCAAGTTTCTCTGATTTTACAGTCACTTTACTCTGAATGAATTCCTAAAGAACTATCTCCTTCTCAATATACCTATTGAACTCCTCGAACTATAGCCCAGGTTCGGCTCTGTAATAATATATCAATGAAATTCACTTACAACGGAACCACTTACATAATTAATCCAACTGAAAAATGTACAGTGGGCAACCAAAACCAACTAGAATCAATCAACCACATCATGTTTGATTGTCCAATCTATTGTTCTATTCTGGATACCAGAAACCTAATACTAGGTAGTTGAATAATAATTTTATAATAATTCGTTAAAGGGAACCTTCCACATTTCTTTCACTAGTGTATAAAGAACAAAGTTAAAAATACTCTGTTCTTCTCTTAAAGGTTAGTTACACGTACAGCCAATGGCTGCGGATAAGGCGCACCCTAGTCACTGTCATCACTTCCTTCGTCTCCATGTGTCACTTCTTCCTTCGCGTGCAAACGTCATGGTTTGCCAAGTTGCATCAATTCACCAGTCGCGTCATGCTGTTGGACACTTGGCTGTTGTGGAAAAATGGCAACAGCAACAAAACAGCCAAGCTGATGGCGCTGTGTTTGGTGCCTTTGCTGTTGCTCGGCGGTGAGTAGTTTGCAATTTTCTTGGCATAGGTACATTCGCAGTGACGGCTCGTCAGGGACGGCAGGGTCGGCCGGGCCGTGCCAAATAATTTGGGGAAAATTACTGAACTATTTGATGAATACAATTATTTTCCGAAACTGTTTTCATAAATTGATCGTTCATTATCCTACTGTTATGCCACTATCATATCAATTTCATTCACTGGAACCTTTGAGTATGCCATCCGCATATACTCCGAAAATCACGAACTAATTCAGGACCTACGACATCTCATAATCCCATCGTCAAAACGCCGCTTTAAGTTGAAACGCTCGCGTAGCTCATTACACTGATGCAGACGGCCGGCCGATCGGTGGTTTCTTGTCTCGACGCATCGCCTACAGATTCCCCGCTTCAAGTTTGAATTCTTGCGTATAAGCGAACGATACGCGTCATACCTTGGGTGCGGCCAAGCTCTGCTGGCCGTCAGTACGTACGTAATCAAATCAGTAGTTTGCAGTGCGCTCGCTGTGCACCGTATCCGACCATTCCGACCTAATTTTTAATATACGGATTGGCATGATTGACATTCTATTTTCATTTTACATTGTAGGTATTTATAATTTTAATTCCTATACTTATTTGTAAGTTGATGTTGGAATTTGAAATGTACAAACTGAAAAGAAAAATAATTTCCATGTTTTTGTTTACGCTTGCAGTAGTTGCAGTAAAAATGACTGGTGATTTTTGAATTTGCAATTTTTCAGTGATTCATAATTCAACATATCCATCTAATATTGGTATCAGAATTTTCCTTCAGTGCCTCTGAGCGTCAATAAGTTATAATTCAATTTGAATATTGTAATGTAACCTACTGTGCCTCTGCCTATGTAGGTAATATGGCAAGAAAAATGTCAGCAGTCCAAGAGCTGAGTAGGTATTGAAACATCGTAAAAAAGCTCTGGTGACGAAAATGTAATAAATGTGATTCACCATAAATGTCCCCCCCTCTAGCTCAGTTATTTTTAAACCGATTTCAAAATTTGAAATATCATCTTGAATGATTTTTGATTGAGTTTTTTTCCGCTACATCAGAAAATACAGGGTGCTCAGAACAAACGATCTACAGGGTACCATTTGATTTTTTTATATGGAACAACCTATTTTTCATTGTATTTTTAGATTCTCCCTGAAAAGCTGATTTGCTCAATGCATCACACTTGGGGTCTATCGGGAATGATTACAGAGATATAGGGTGTTCAAAATCGAGATTTTTCAACTTTAGGATTTTTTTGAGACGAAACTATTCATCATCGGTCAAAACGGCTTTCATGTCCATATCTCAACTTTTGATTTACTATCTACTGACATTTAATAATTGGAACAAATACAGGGTGATCAGAATTCTGAATCTTGAACCACACTGTAAATGTTCCAATCAAATCTCAATAGACAGTTAATCAAAAATTAAGATGGAAACAATAATGAATAGTTTCGAGACAAAAAAATCCTGAACTTGAAAAATCTCGATTTTGAACATCCTATATCTCTGTTATCATTCCCGCTAGACCCCAAGTGTGATGCATTGATGAAATGAGCTCTTCACGAAGAATCTAAAAATACAATGAAATACAGGGTGTTCCATTTGGAAAAATCGAGTAGTACTCTGTAGATCATTTGTTCCGAGCACCCTGTATTTCCTGATGAAACGGGAAAAAAAAATCTGAGAAATCATTTTAGATCATCCTTCAAAATTTTAAATCGGGTCAAAAATAAAGTGAGCTAGAGTGGGGGACAATTATGGTGAATCACCCTGTACATGCTTATTTGACATCGAACTTCCCTCAAGCCGCTGACCCAACGTGTTACGTTCGCATTTCAGAGCAATATCTATACCCTGGCCGACCCAGGTTCTGAGGGCACGAGCCGTCACTGTACATTCGTCTTCAGAGATCATGTCGCATCATTGAAGTACATTGTGGTGAATAAATTGTCCAATGATGAAAAAAGGAGATCAATTACTCGAGCAAATAGTTCTAAGACAAGTGGAAAAAGAAGGTGAAATTCAGCACTTTTTCGTGAAATATCTCTATAAACAGTAGTTTGTTCACATTTTCATTATCCAATTCGTGTTTTTGAGACAAAAATACTTGAGTACCAAAAAACATTTTCAAAAAAAAAAAAAAACATCGCATGACAAGTGCAAAATTACCATAAAATCTCATAACACGGATGTCTTTCAGGTTCGCACGTGTTGTTGGTTAGAGGCGTGTCCCTTGCTCCTTCCTGCCACCCTAACTGCAGCCGCCTTGTCACCGCTTACTTTAACTCGCTCATTCTTCGAACCCGCGAAATAATGTTCAACATCACCGAAACGTCACTGTAACTGTCAAGTCGCTGTCTCTTTTCTTCGTCGATGAATCGTGTCGATGACACATTAGATGTTTACGTCACCCAGTTAGGAAACGTGTAATTTTGTGTGACGATGGCAGTTTACAGTTACACAAAATGCATTTCCTAACGTGTTATGTATAATGTTTTTTCTAATTTTGATGAACAGTTTTGCTTCAATTTTAATAATTACCAGTACTACAGTTTTCTTCGTATGATTTCAAACCAATCAGAACGTTCAATTGACTTGAGCTATCTTGTATAATTTCGAATATACGTGCGTGGATATACATACAGTGTCTTTCAAAAGTATCGGAACGGTCTCATATTTCAGGAACGGCTTGAGAAAAATTCACGAAATTTTCTACAGGGTGATTATTGATGATGTCCGATTCAATGGTGGCATCGGCAATGTTGCCAAGTTTACAGTTTTTCAGATATTAGGAGTAAATTTATTTTTTCAAATGGAATACCTACCCCATTTATTTTTATTGCAATTAATTAAGCGCCTCCTAATTACTTGAGTCCCTGAATATCAGATTCGTAATTAATGTGATTTTCGAAATATGACAACATAGCATTTTCGTTAAAGAGTTCTGGAACGGTCCCATATTTCAGAAACGGCTCAAAGAAAATTTATGAAAACTTCGACAGGATGGTTGTTGATGATGCCCGATTCAATGGTGATATCGGCAATGTTGCCAAATCAACAGTTTTTCAGATATTCAGGGTAACTCAATTTTTTCAAACGGAATACCCTATTTGTTTTCATTGCAATACATTCAGCGACGCCTCATTACTTATGTCTCCAAATATCAGAAAATGCCATGTTGTCATATTTCGAAAACCACTTCAATTTAAAATCTGGTATTTGGAGACATAAGTAATGAGGTGTCACTGAATGTATTGCAATGAAAACAAATAGGGTATTCTATTTGAAAAAATTGAGTTACCCTGAATATCTGAAAAACTGTTGATTTGGCATGATTGCCGATATCACCATTGAATCGGGCATCATCAAAAACCTTCCTGTCGAAGTTTTCATAAATTTTAAGTTTTTAACGAAAATGCTATGTTGTCATATTTCGAAAATCACGTTAATTACGAATCTGATATTCAGGGACTCAAGTAATTAGGAGGCGCTTAATTAATTGCAATAAAAATAAATGGGGTATTCCATTTGAAAAAATAAAGTTACTCCTGATATCTGAAAAACTGTAAACTTGGCAACATTGCCGATGCCACCATTGAATCGGACATCATCAATAATCACCCTGTAGAAAATTTCGTGAATTTTTCTCAAGCCGTTCCTGAAATATGAGACCGTTCCGATACTTTTGAAAGACACTGTAGAGTAGTTTCAATCAGAAATTAAGAATTATTTCTATTTCCATAGTAACCAATTCATATTGTCACATACAAACAAAGCACGTCGTCAAACTTCGGCGTTCGTTCAGAACTACTAAAAAAATAATCGCTTCAAATACAATTCGAACTTATAAAACAAATAACACTAACATCCTTCTTGAATTCCAATGGTATCATATGCTTCTTCATATTCCGAACGTAGTTCTTATCAAAACTCTCAAATGCAGCCAATGATATACAGGGTGTCCGCTAAAAGGAGGTCAATCCATTAACCATATATTCTTTGAACAGAAACAATATGAGTTTCTAAATACCATTTTTCATTGTAGCCCCTCATATTCGATATACAGGGTAGGGTGTCGAAGATGGAAATTAAAAACTGTATTTTTTCAATTACTCGCGTATTTAATAAGATATTTATCTCAAAATTGGTACATTACTTCAGCACAAAGAGTTACATGGTGTGAGGAAAACAAAACAGAAAATAACTGTCAAGTATTCAAAATACTGGGGGTCATGTACACACTTACCCCTATATTTTTTTTGTACGTGCGTTGACTTTCTTTTTATTTTTCTTCAAGTGTCAAATCATTTTCGAGTATTTTTTGTCTCCTGTAAAATTTTGATAAAATCATTTGTTTTTAAGATAATTCGAAAAGTACTGGTTATTGTTTGATGCCCAAGTTGCTTACGGTAATCTCATAATGTTCACATACTCCTATTTATTTCGTCAAAATTGGAAGAGGGCGTAAGTTTTTACGTACGAAAAGGTGAATATGGAAATACGGGGTGCTCAGAGCGGATGTATTGAAATAATTTTCACAAAAAAAATTGATAGAAATTCAACACGTCTAAAAACAAGGTTGCTCGATATGACCATCAATTTTTTTGATACACATGCCAGCCCTCTTAAATAATTTAATTGAGGAAAATAATGATTTTAGGAGGATGAGGGGGTCGATTGACGAGCCCACCCTTTTAGAGAATTATTAAATTGATTTTTTTCGAGAACAACAAATTTAAAAAAAAAATTAAAATCGGTTTGAGCGGTTTTGGGGGTTGCGGAATTTTTAAAAATATTTTCGAGCCCTCCCCCGTATGGTATGTCGTGCGCGAATGAACTGGAAATGAAATCGGAAAAAAATAAAAAAAATATTTTCGGAAATTTCAGGTGAAATTATGATATACATGGTTTTAATAGCAACTTGATGGAAGCAGATCAGGATTGTCTGGGAATGTATGAAAGATTTTGTGTATTAGCC